GGTCATCTGGACATCAGTTTTAATAGCTGGCGATCTCCAGGTGCCGCCTGGAGGTTGGCTTATGTTAATTTGGGGCTATGCAGTCACAGCTAAGGTAGAAAAGCACCTCCTCCAGTGCCATGTTTTCTGGGTTCCAAGGGTCTGGAAAGTGATACCATAGCCGATTACACGGTTGCCAACTCTGGGTTGGAACATACCTGTAAATTTGAGGGGTAGAACCTGGGGAGGGCAGGATTTTGGGTGGGGTGGGACCTCAGCAGGGTATAATGCCATAGAATCTAACTGATCTGAGTCATCTGGACATCAGTTTTAATAGCTTTTTTTTAGTGGTTTATTTTACATTTTCATAAGTTTTAATAGCTGAAGCCCTGACTGCTATGTCACACTGGCTGCCATACAGGGGCCATCTCAACAGGATATAGGGACACAGAGTCCACCATTTTCTCCAGGGGAACTGGTCTCTGCCATCTGGAAAGCAGTTGTAATTCTGAGTGATCTTTAGCCCTCACCTGGAGATTTGCAACCATGGTTTCCCCCAACAGACACTAAGGGGAAATTTATTTTACCTCAGAACATCAACAGCAAACTGTTAGAGGGAAAGGCCAGTGAGGCTGCATATGCAAACAACCTCTCTGTTCGGAGGCAAAGGCGAATCAGGCCACATATGCAAATGACCTCTGTGTTCTGACTGGCTGTGTGTGGGAGAGGAACAGCAAACTGTTTAGAATGTTGAAAGCAGGACTCAGGCAAAGCAGCCAGTGGATCGGGAGACCCTCTGAATGACAGATCAGAGAGCGAACTGATTTTGGAGCGTGTTGGAATGTTCAGGGGAGTCCATGACCAAAATAGAATTATATATACCGGAGGATGATAGCTTAAATCAAAAGTGTTGGAAGTGATATTTGTCTCACTGAAACACAAAACAAATGTGATCAGGCTAAAACGAAGACTTTAAGGATGGCTTTTTGCAGGTAAAACCAAAGAATGCCTCCTTCATAAAACAGGGCTGTGGCAGGATTGTGGCCTCAAGCACAGGTGCGGAACATCTAAGGGCACAGGATGCTGAAAGCTTTTATTATGGGAAGCCCAAGATTCCTTATCCTTCAATCTGGAATGCATTTTTTTTTACTGTGTACTTATATATGGGTTCTTATTACATTTATGTCGGCAGCGGGCAAGATTAAAGGCAAAGTAAACATCTCGTGAGTGTAATTGAACACTTCACTTCCGGCTTAGTTCTCTTTGAGTTGGCTTTGTTTCACCCAGCTTGCCACTGTTCCCCTTAGCCATGCAGGTGCAGAAGTAGGTGGGCAGGGTTTCTAATTAGGGAAGCCACATGAAGAAGTGATCCAGTTGCTCAACTCATATACCAATTTAAGCTATTCTGTTCTAGGTCAAAGCAGATTCCAGAACAGAATCTACTAGAGGCCGAATTAGTAGAAAACATAGAAGATCCACCATAGGACTGATCTCCCAACATTTTATGATTTCTTAAACTGTATCAGAGTCACAACTCTGGGGTGAGGTGATCTAATGGTACCTGACCCAGTACCATTTTCCCCAATGTAGATAGCCGAGGCTGCATTTGGGGACCTTGGAGCCAGGCAAGTCATATGATTTGTGTCCAGATGATGTTTGAGTTGGGTCTGCATGGTGTGAAAATGTGTAAAGTAAAGGGGCAAATGAAAGAACATAGGACAAAACAAATCTCAAAAGCTGTGATTTTCCCATCTCTTGTTCATTAAAAGACATTTTTTTGAGGGTAGATTAATTGACACTTGTAAATAAAGCCATTATAATGGCTGAAATGTCAGACAAAGACTGCAGAGACCAGGGTTCAATCCCTCCCTCCCCCCAGTCATGAAACTCACCAACATGAATATGGGCATCTCCGGCCATAGCGGCAACAATAAAATTGCCACTCTCGATCCAGCACAGATGGAAAATATTGGCTCTGGAATCCTGCCACCAGTCCATTATTTGAACATGTCTGATACCTGGAGGGGGAAAATAACATTGAAAATATAAACTTGAAAAGAAGACCTGCTGGCTACAAGCACTTTCTTGTCAATCACGGAATACAGCTATGGCACAATGCCTGCTTTGCCAAACCGCTGCTCCCTTGATTCTATCCTGCCTGGTTCCCTTATGACAGCTGTTGGTGAGGGAAATGCACTGGCCCATGAGATGTAGCGTTCACACAATGTCTCGTGTAAACTGGGCTGCTATCTATGCAAAGCTGCTATATATGCTTAGTTAGCATACCAAAGGTTGATAGCCCAGGAGCGTGTCCCGCTGGCATGGTTTGCAGAGGTGGCAGCCCATTTGACGAGAGATGGTGTACAAATGCCAGCTCACACATGTGACTACTTATGCCCTGGCAAGGGCCTGTTTAAATCAGATCTAATATACGTATACTAAGAAAATTATTACTGTTCCAACCACCACTGTTGATGGTGCCAATACATGTGTTCCTAAAGTGCTCTTGCAGCTGAAGTATGAGTGTTTAACAAATCTGTCATGGGCAGTAGCAGTGCAATCTAGAGTTGCACCTTCCTAAGCCCATGGACTCCGAAGTACTTCGGAGGTTATAGCTCTGCCCAAGATTGCACTTCAAACCTATTAGTACTAATGATGTTACTGAATCATCTGGCTCAGCTTGAAAGTTCAAGTATCTTTTAAGTTTTCTCTGCACTTATGACAAAACTGCAGTTGTTCTCTTTCCTGTCCATATTAATAATATTTTATAGAAATACTGCTGTTGAATTGGTATCAATTGCATATAAATGGGGCATAAAAGGTATAAAAGGTACATAATGTAATACCATAATAGTGGCATCAAAGTAGGGAAAACACAGGAAATTTGCCAAGGAAAATAGGTGGGGTACAAAAATGGCCTTCCTAGCCACCCTCAAAAATGAAAATAAACAAAAACCTCATTTTTGTACATTCCCAACTTACAATAAAAGCAGTTGCTGCCTGCAAACACTTGCAAAAATACTGGCAAAATTTCACATAAGCCCTGTATAATGTCTTTCAAATCAGAACAGATAAACTAATTGCAATTCCTATGCAAGTTGTGGAAATTATTTGAAGACTACAGTTTCATTTGGTTTCATTTGATTTTCCTTTGTCGTGCAGTTATTCTGTAACACGGCCGTAAATAATAATTAATTTTTACTTGGCTTACTGCTTGCTCCATCAATGAAAAAATAGCTAGAAATAGTCCAAGGGGAAATACTGAAATAAGACTTGAACAGTTCTACATGAATATTTGAACTTAGAGTTGCAGAACTGAAAGACATTCCATAACCCCAAGTACTCATTGGGGCTTTTTACCTGCTTTCCAGCTTCTTAACAGCAAAGAGAGAAGGAAGGTGGTTTTAAAGTTCCAGTTCTGGCTGGGGAAATTCCTGGAGATTTGGGGACAGAGCCTGGGAGTGGGATTTGGAGTGGGGAGGGGCGTCATCAGGGTATAATACTGTGGATTCCACTCTCCAAAGCTGCCAATTTTTTCCAGGGGACAGATCTCTGTAGTCTGGAGATCAGTTGTACTTCTGGGAGATCTCTGGCCCCCTCCCCCCCCCCGAGTTTGAGAACCTTAACACAGGTTTTGAAATCGAGGCTAAATCAACCTGGCAAAGCACAATAGACCGTCTAGTTTTATGGTGAAATATCAGAACACCTCCACACAGTCACCAACTGCAGGACCAGGACTAGGCAGAGACAGAGAGGTACTTTAAAAATAGTCATATGGTAGGCCTTCCCACTGCTTGTGGGCTGGTGTGTCCTCTCTGGATCAATAGATTTTGTTGTGTTCTGATGCACTATAAACATTAGATGACTATAATATAAACAGTTGTAGGACACAAGGTAAGAAGAGAGCAGTGCAGTAGAGTGTTAAACTCAGAAATGGGAGGCCTTGGGTTCAAATCACTTCTTGGCTATGAAGCTCACTAAATGTCTTGGGCAGTTGTCACTTTCTTTCAGCTTAGCCTACCGCACAAGGTTGTTGCAAAGAGAAAACAACATATCATACTTATTGGAATGGGTTGGAAAATAAATATCAAAAGTGTAAACAAAAGTTTAGTTTGTTGTTGTTGTTCAGTTGCACAGTCGAGTCCGACTCTTTGCGACCCCATGGACCAGATCTCGCCAGGCCCTCCTGTCTTCCGCCGTCCTCTGAAGTTTGCTCAATTTCATGTTCGTTGCATCTATGACACTGTCCAACCATCTCATCCTTTGCCGTCCCCGTCTTCTTTGTCCTTCACTCTCTCCCAGCATCAGGGTCTTCTCCAGTGAGTGCTCCCTTCTCATTTGATGGCCAAAGTATTTGAGCTTCAGTTTCATTATCTGGCCTTCCAGGGAACTCTGTGGTTGTGTCCTTGAATTTCATTAGAGTCCCTAGATACTAGATGCCAACCAATATTAACAATAGCAGC